ATTAGAAAATGACATTTATAACCCAGGAACAAAAATCGTGTTACATGGTGTTATTGTTTTCTTCCTTCATTATCTCCATCATCACCTGTTGTTGTGGGCTTTCAATAAATATTTAACTTATGGCAACCCTAATGCAAGCCACATCTAGGACCTCTCAATGGTTTTCATGGCCAATCGGGTATTCAAATCCTGGTCTCCAGAGTTATAGTTCAACACTCAAGCTGGTTTCACACCCGTTTCTTTATTGTTACAGAAATTGTGATGTAACATCCATATGGGTAAATAATTTATGTGCAAAGTTCTCTAGTGATGACCTTTTCTTTTAGATTCTTTATATGGAGATAACATTTGCTACATATATGCAAAACCATTATGTTGGTCATAATTTCCTCAGCATGTCCTCAGTATTCCTGGTGATACTTTTTACAGTATATGTTTACGTAACAGGCATGATTGCTATACAGAATGAAGTAGCTTTCTAGAAATACTATGGATTTCTGAACCTAAAACCCACTTGTAAAAAGTCTGATATGCACAAAGGAGGGATTTTAGCATTTTTTGCAAAGATTATTCATTTGGTTCCCAAAATAGAGATTGTAAAATAAAAACAATCCCTAGGACAATTGGAACTGGTGTGTATTTCAAGTTAAATTTAAGAAGTGGAGCAATTTTTAGAATAGTACATTATGCTGGTCTGTTGTAAGAAAACTAGTAACGGGTCTTGCATCTGAAATATAGAAAATGCATTACAGGCTATTGTCCACAAAAGCTTATGCCATGATAAAATGTGTTGATCTCAGATGAAGGGATTTCTTGTTTTAATAATTAGAAACAGTTGCCATTCATAGAAATGCTACATCATTTTCCTTTTTTGAGAATTTGTCTTTTATTAACAGCAGAAATCTAGATAGAATATAGACACAAAGGGTGTGCCCACTTTCGTTGTGTCAGCTTCTGTTTGTTCTTTCCTATTAATATATGGATACTCTACTTTTCTTGTTCAGACATGAGCGGAAAACATTTCCTTGTTCATATTTATCCTTACTTTCTGAGAAGTATAACTTAGTGACTTTCAAGTATACAATTACAGGCAAAAAATACAAGGTGCCAAAATTTTACAGTATTTATAATCCAGAACTGACTGTAATAAAAGCATTGAATTAGACATTTTATAGCAGATATGCTAGGAAAACAGGATTCTGTTTGCGGAGTTCTATCTGCTGAAAATTTTTAATGGGACTTAAGAGCCAGAGTAGCTTAGTTGTTTAAATGTTGTACTATGATACCGGAGGCCATATTTGAATCCCTGCTTAGCGACAGAAACCCATTGTGTGTCCTTTTGTGACTGTGTTCTCTGCTCCTGGGAAGCCATGCTGGTGAAGAGCAGTGTTTTTATTTCATTCTTTTCTACTATAGAGCTCATAACTAATAAAACCTGGCTCTCCTAAACCTGGAAAAAGAAACCATAGTACTTTAATCAATCACTTGCTTTTAAGAAATTCCAAGTATAGCACTGGGTTATAATTTCAAGGTAGTATATAGGAAATCTTTTCAGATAGTAATGCAATCACAGCAAATGTGTTTTGTGAGAACAGTGGCATCCCTGCACATTGGTTTTTTGGGTTAAAAATTTGAAAGGCTTGCTATGCAAAATGTTAAACATTTGTTATGAACAGATCCATGTTTTTCCATAACCAAGTCTCCACTTGTCCTTGAGTTACAATAGCAAGGTCAGTTATAAAATGAGTTTTGTAGATAATGTCTTTGCATAGTTACCTTTCCATAGTTACCTTTTTATAGCTTTCCAGAATTATTACTTGGGTTTTTAAAAAACCTCCCCACATCTCAATTTCCTTACTATTGTTCCCCTGTTCTATGGTTCCATAACTCTTAAAAAACAGTAGAACACTGCAGAAGGATCAGTGTTTCTTGAGGGGAAGATCACAGATTTGATTGAACAATATCTGTGTTTGCAGATAGGAAGAAGCTTAAGTGTAGTATCTGTTCAGTACAGGCTTCTCACCAGCCCTTCATCAATCCTGGAAATTATGGATTAAATCCAACCTCAAGAACTTGCTTTCAGCAGATAAATAAAAGTAATGGGACCACTTAGATCATTTCATATTAAAGCATAATAAATTGGCATAAAACTTTAATTCATACATACTTGGGAGTCAGAATAATTTTGAGAAGTAGAATAAGTCTATATGTGGGAGTGCAGGAAGGGACAATTTACTATGATTTCAATCTCCAACAATAAGGAAGGCCTTTGGAAAATGTAGGAAGAGTTTTTTCATTATGTGCATTTGTTGAGATTATCCTCAAAGTGATTTAAATTGCTGGGAACTCTTCAAGAAGAGCTAATTCTAAGAGCTAAATCCAACATTAAGAAGACCACCGGAAGTGAATGAGATGTCAATACCTCCTTCTGCCAGTAGGCATTTGGGGAAGAATAAGGGGTGTGCTGCTGGGTGGGATTTGGCGGGGGAGGGGGGTGTGAGTTTTAAAGGCAATTTAAAGTGTATTTATTATATTTTAATCCACGCTGTATTATTTTGTTGCTTTTTAGTTTTTGTATTGCACTTTTTAGAAGCCCCCAGTGGCACAGTGGGTTAAACCACTGAGCTGCTGAACTTGCTGACCAAAAGGTTGGCGGTTTGAATCCGGGGAGCTGGGTGATCTCCCACTGTTAGCCCAGCTTCTGCCAACCTAGCAGTTCGAAAACATTCAAATGTGAGTAGATCAATACGTACCACTCTGGCAGGAAGGTAACCTTTTAAACTATGAGTAAAGTGAGGGATTGTTAGCTGCCTTGAGTCCCCACAGGGAGAAAGGCGGGGTATAAATTAAGCAAATAATAAATAAATGGTCACAACAAACTTAATTTCTATCCATTTCTCTGGACTTTTGTAGTTAGGACTAATGCTGGATGAAATTGTAAATCTGGTTCATCGGTTGTAGAAGTGGATTCTTAATGTACACAACGCTGGTCTTTTGCACATGATTACATTATATTATGTGCTCTAATAGTACACATATTCTTCTTTTAATCCCGTGATACTTCGGAGAGAATTCAAAATCTATGATTCGAGATCTAAGGTGTGACTACAGTTAGGATACTGTATAAAGTTCATGTGACCATATTTCAGAATGTATATTGAACTGCATAGAAATGGGCAATAAAATAACCAGGAAATTATTAGAACAACTGTCTCAGATAAGCTGCAATGTTTGAAGTCATTTCTTTTAGAAGAAATCTAAGGAGACAATCAGATGAAAATGTTTAACATTAGAAGTAGTGTAGAAAAAATAGTGTAACTGAAAAATTCAAGTTGATTGTATGACTGACTGTATGATTGTATGAATTAGTTTTGCTCCTCATATTCTTTAACACATCTCTCTCTTTAACCCGAATGTGTTTAACTGAAATTAGTATAACTTGGTTTTGAAAACATGTCAACCTTTGCTTGCTTTCTCATATATCAACCAATATCTCAGAGCTAATATTTTTGTAATGTAGCTGTTATCAGATGGGAGTTAAGACCATCACTCATAGCAATTTATGGCTCTCAAGGTTTAACAGCTTATGCAGAATTGCAGTGCACCACACATTCCTATGACAACAGTGATAAAGAGCTAAGACATGTACATGCTGAGGAACCACGTGGTCTACTGTTTCCAATTTCCAGAAGTGTAATAATGCAGATTAGAAAAAAGGATTTGTGTCTAAATGTTGATTTACACATTGGTTGCTGAAATCTGTACTAACTAAAAACATTTATTGTGAACATTCTAATAAAATGGCTCTGTCCATAAACAGTCATTTCTGTGACAGACTTGCCATCACATGGAGATAGAATATGTATAATGTAGGGATTGCAAATCTTGAAAACACTTGAAATGTAGAATCTTTTGAATTGTTAATAGATGTGGAGTGGTAATATCTAAATATTTCCTGATAAGTTTCTCATCTCACTTTTACTTCTGTTTTTAAATTAATTATGTTCATGAGTATGTTTATGTACCATTAAGATGACTGTCGCATTATGGCAACCCCATGGATTTCATAGGATTTTCTTAGCAAAGAAGTAGATGGTTTAGCCAAGTCCTTTCTACAGCACTTACTTTATGTTAATAGTTTCATCCAAGTACTAGCCAGGGCGGACTGTCCTAGATCAGAGTGATCTGGTTTGTTTAAGCAGTGGTTCCCAACCTTTTTTGACCAGGGACTGCTTGACCAGGGACCACTTTCCAAGATTAGTATCAAAACGATCATGAATCTATTTTTGGCCAACTTTAGATTTGGTTTGGTTATTTGTGGTGCTGATTCATAAAATTGCATTGGATAGACCACATCAACTCTAGTTTTTTGATACAGAACATATGCCATCCAGTAGTAGCCATCTGCTCGCGCGCAGAAAACCATATTTAATAATCTAGAGCTGATGTGGTAGTAGTAATCTTTTGTGGGTAGACAGCTTCTCCGCTCCTGACATTCCTGTTGTCTTGGCACTATAAGAGGGTTTTGTAAGACCAATAGTTCTCATTGCTACGTGTGTTTGAGGCAACAGCGTAGTAATAATGAGGCTGCGGATCATATTTTCATTCTTGCGCACTACTAGTGGTCCATGGACCACAGGTTGGGAACCATTGCTTTAGGGTATGTAGGTCTTACTGTTAATATCTATACATTCTACTTATGAAGCAGTATTTTTTATATGGGAGAAAGGGGAATTCTTTGTTTTCGGAGGATGGTCTTGTGATACTATAATCTTCTCTGTAATCATTATATATCCATCAGTGTTGGTCAGATATTACTACTGAGTATTACTAATTCTAAACAAGCTTGTATATGTTTTGCTAATTAGATAGATGTTGATTTTGCATAGCAACTAATGAGATTTATGGAACATCTTTCTGTGTTTCCAATGTAAATCCTTTATGTTAGTAGGAAAAAATTAACCATGTATTAATATCTGCTTCTTGTATCTTTACTACAGCTAGAGATCCACTGATTATCTAAGTACCAACAGCTGCCTCTTCTGATATGAAAGCTGGGAGAGAGTACCGCTGAAATCAACATGTAGCAGACAACCCTGCCATCAAATGTGCTGCTTTTAGCCAAGGTGTTTCAGGCTTTTCATCAGTGAATGAATTACTCTAGGATTTGAATTTTTTTTTGGGTGGCGAATGCATTTTATCAACTAAATTTCAAATTGGATCTTATGTAGTGTTGGTTAAACTAAGGAACCATGAGTAGCAATTTAGGCAAAGAAAAAGATTGTAAGGAGAAGGACTCCAAAGTGTCTTCAGCAAAAGAAAAGGAGAAAGAAGCAAAGGCCTCTGGTGGTTTTGGGAAGGAGGGTAAAGAGAAAGAGCCTAAGACCAAAGGGAAAGAAGCCAAAGATGGGAAGAAAGATGCCAGCAGTGCACAGCCAGGGGTGGCTTTTTCAGTGGACAATACAATAAAACGACCAAATCCAGCTCAAGCTGCTCGTAAAAAATCCAGCAATGCCGAAGTGATCAAAGAGCTAAACAAATGTCGGGAAGAAAATTCAGTGCGCTTGGACTTGGCCAAGAGGTCAATACATCTGCTCCCATCATCTGTCAAAGAGTTGACACAGTTGACAGAACTTTATTTATATGGAAACAAACTGCAGTCACTACCACCTGAGGTGGGCTGTCTTGTGAATCTGATGACACTGGCCCTGAGTGAGAACTCTCTCACCAGCCTTCCTGACTCTCTTGATAACTTGAAGCAACTTCGCATGGTTGATCTACGGCATAACAAACTCAGAGAAATCCCTCCAGTGGTATACAGGCTAACTTCCCTTACCACACTTTATCTGCGCTTTAATCGTATCACAGCTGTGGAAAAGGATATTAAAAACTTGTCATTGCTCACAATGCTAAGTATACGGGAGAATAAAATCAAGCAACTACCTGCAGAAATTGGTAAGTACTTTGTTTTCAAACCCTGTACTACATCTTTTGTGTGGGTGAGAATAGAAACAAATGCATTATCAGTATTTAGATGCCTCATGTCTGTCACTAGTGGCATTGTTGCATATTTTGGTTTTAACAGTAATGTATAATGAAAAGTACAATTAAACTAGATACACACAATCATTTAGTTGTTAAACCACATGACTGCATTTTGTTCTGTGCATTTCATCCATTTGCATTCAAATTAATTAATTATTCATTTCACTGATTTTCAATCACGTTCAGTAATTTATTTTTGTTACAAATATTTCATTCTGGAAATCATGAAATGGCTTCATTTTATCTGTGACAGTTTCTCAACCGTTAACCATAGATACAATTCTAGAAATCTAGTAAGGAGAAGAGTATGTAAAGATGAGGAAAAATGAAGTATAGTTTTCATTCCAGTTTCCAAAGAATAATTGGTTATCATGACAGTTATGTTCTTGTGAAAAGCAACTCATTTCTTAAAAATAGATTGGTACCATGTTTTTTTAAAGAATGCTACAAGCTATTGGAACTTGTTAGTTGCATAAGTATACACATCACTATTTAGTACTTGGTAGCAATTACAATTGAGACTTTTGAGTAAATTTCTGTTGATTTTGCACATAGGGATACTACAATTTCCCCATTGTTCTTGGCAAAATTGCACCAGCTCTGTCAAGTTGGATGACAGTGAACATCATTCACTGGTTCATCCATTGGTGAATAGTCTTTCTACAGATTCTGAAATTGAGGTCAAGGCTTTGATGTGTTGTTTTGGCTACATGTTTAAGTTAATTTTATCTGTTAAAGGTGAACCTTTTCAGAGGTTCCATTCAAAGATGCCGTTGACCTTTGGGTTGCTTTTAATGCCCTCCTTATCTGGTCACTAGAGTTTGTTGAATGTATCTCCATTCTGGAATGATGGATTTAATATTGATCTGGAGATGTTTGTAGATTGGGATTGTTTAACTTACTCAACTCTGATTGGTGTTTCTGAATAATTTTAGACTTCTTTTGATTGCTCTTTGGTTTTCATGATCCTGTTTGTTTAGCTATCATCTCCAACAAGTCATGGAGCCTTGCAGAAACCTTTTGTCTTTAAACTGAGATGATGTGATAGTGGAATGTTATCCAAATAGACCCTATTCAACTACTTATGGGACTTCTGGAAGCACTGGATTTATACCAGTCCTTTTATAGGCATATTACAGCAAATAGGGTGAACAATTTATGTAATCAACAAGTGTTAGTTTACTTTTTCTTATGTAAAATTTGTGTCACAATAACAATTATTTTGCAACTTAACAAGTGTTGAACATTTGGATGCATTAAGTTGTAATAGTGCTAACTGAATTAACAGATTGTAATATAACAACATGTGAAAAAAATCTAAGGGACAAAGAGCTATAATATTTATGCTCGCCTATTCGTAAAAGTAATTAACTGCAAGTATATAGTTTACAAATGTACAATGGTCATTTGTAGAAGTGTTGCAAACATTAAAGGTACGAATATTGTTGTTGTTGCTAATTCTTGTCAAGTTAGCTTTTAATTTAGGGCAGCAGTAAGACTGGAACACTTCCAAGACACCTTTTTATTAAAAGCTCTACTAATTTCTTGTAAATGTGGTCATGATGTGATTTCATCAACCCACTTGTGTTCTGCTCTCTGGTTTTCCTGCTGCCTTCAGAGTTATCTAGCATCATCATCTTCAAATTCACTGGAAAAGATGATAATGCTAGGTAACATAGGTAACATTCTTTTCATGATTGTTGTACAAGTAGTTACTTGTAAATACAGGCAGTCCCCAAGTTACAAATCAGATCTTACATTGAATTTGTTTTAAACAAATGCATTTTAAAGTATAACTCCAGCCCTATCTATCTATCTATCTATCTATCTATCTATCTATCTATCTATCTATCTATCTATCTATCTATCTCTCTCTCTCTCTATCTATCTCTCTATCTCTCTATCTCTCTATCTCTCTATCTCTCTATCTCTCTATCTCTCTATCTCTCTCTCTATCTATCTATCTATCTATCTATCTATCTATCTATCTATCTATCTATCTATCTATCTGCCTTGGATAGCATAAGGGTTGACACCCCTGTGGTGTTTGTTTTGCGGTCTGTGCCCCTGTTCAGAAGATTGCACCTTGCTTTCTATCCCTGTGATAATTGGATTTTGAAAAATTTGGCTTGTTGTGGGAACAAGGATACTTCAGTGAAGACACTTTCCCCCCATGATAACATTACATGGGTGAATTTTCCTTTCCAGGGGTACATTGTCTCAACCTCTCTCCCCCCCCCCCCCATTCTTTACTGTGGTTTATAAGTTGGATGTTCGATATTTGGGGACTGGCTGTAGTTAATTCTAAGAAGACAACTCTGCCCCCCCCCAGCTGCTATTTAGGTGCCCCCCCTTTGTTAGGGTTTTCCCTGCAGCAGTCAAAGATGCTCCCTGCCATTGCAATGGTTTTGCTTTCCAAGGACTCATCACACTTGAACATTTTTCCATTTTAATCTACTTTAAATGCTGTGATTGCCTCTTTCAGAATTCTGGGGCTTGTAGTTTAGGGAGGGACCTTTAAACTGCTCATCCAGAGAAGCTCTGGGCCTTCCTAAACAAACCCAGAATTCTGCAGGAGGCAGTCACAGCATTTAAAGTGGATTGAAATGGAAAAATGTTCAAGTGTGATGAGTCCCCAAGAGCAGCTCTGGGTCTGTGAGCTCTCCCTTGACCCACAAGTTATAAACTATGTCATGCTGATTAAACCTCATTTAACATTTTTAAGAATAGGAATTAGCTTCAGTTCCAAAAAAAGCTTGATCAGTGTCTCAAATAAAAATCTACATAGATAGAAAAAAATATATAATTTTTTTGTCATGTCAGGAGCGACTTGAGAAAGTGCAAGTTGCTTCTGGTGTGAGAGAATTGGCCGTCTGCAAGGACGTTGCCCAGGGGCTGCCCGGATGTTTTGATGTTTTACCATCCTTGCAGGAAGCTTCTCTCATGTCCCCGCATGAGAAGCTGGAGCTGATAGAGGGAGCTCATCTGTGCTCTCCCCGGATTCGAATCTGTAACCTGTTGGTCTTCAGTCCTTCCAGGACAGGGGCTTAACCCACTGCGTAATTCTATGAATTGCCAATTCTGGAAAACTTTGCAAGCCTCTTCCTATAATCTGTAATATTTAAATACTTCTGTTTGGGGAAATAGTGATCATTTGACAGTATCTGTAGAGCTGGGTGAAGTTTAATATTCATGTCCACTGGTTTATAAAAGTAAGACTGCATGAGAGTAAAATAAAAACTTGTAAAATTTTTATGAAGAGTGAAAGTCTGCATAGGTACAGTCAATACAATTGAAATGTTTTCTGAACAAATTGACAACTAAGACAAGCATCTGTTCCTTGTGTTCTTTCAGAAATTCATAAAACTTTCAACAATCCTCTCTCTTTAAAATCCTTATATTTTTTCTAACGTTGCAATCAGCAATCTGATGACTGATTCAAAACATAGAGCATCTCGAGTCGCTAACACTTTAAAAATGGTCCACTCAAGCAGGTATGCTTCTTCTAATCCATTTTGACTTTCTCTGGTACAGTGAGCATGTAGAGTATGACTCAAAACCACACCAGTAAATTCCTGTAGTAATTTCCACTATTGTGAGCACTGCAAAGTATGTTCCAGCGACAATAAAAACTTCAGCTGGAGCATGTCAGTTTATACAGTGTATGCCTCCAGACAGATCTTTTGGCCGGCCCAGTTGGAAAATGTTGTTTTGAGACTACTTTCAAGTCACCTTTAGTTCTTAAAAACCTTTCTGGGGGAATAAAGTAGCCCATTTTTAATGGCCTGGAATGAAACCCATACTGTTCAAGTATCATTTTGTGATGATTTAGCTCCTTTAGGCTTAGTTTAATCTTCACATTTCACAGTAGAAGATTTCTGCATAGTATACAATTACTATGTATATCATAGTAATTATTAGGCCTGGGTAACAACGCAAAAATTTGTTTCTAAAATCGATTTGTATTTGGG